TTTTTAAGACCAGGTCTCATTATGTAGCCCAGGCTCACCTCGAGCTCATGATGATCTCCTGCCTCAATCTCCAAAGTGCTGGGATTACAGGCATGCACCACGATGCTCAGCTAGAATTCTATTTTGAATTTCTTCTCTTCAAGAGAAGAATTCTCCCAATGGCCTGATTAAGAATCCTATAAGGCTTTATTTAATGGGCAAAAGTAATTCCATGAGGAAATCAGAGTATTCTTTAAAGGGAAAAGAAGATTGTAGTTTTAAAAAATGAATAAACAAGAACCTCAAATGATTACTTGTGAAGGAGAAAAATCTGTCTTTAGCTCAGATCTCTCTTCTGACCTTCTTGTTCATTATATTCTGCTGCTATTTGCACATCTCCATTTGACTGTTATACAGTCACTTCAAATGTAGCATTCCTAAAGCTAAATTTATAGTCCTCCTTTACTTCCTTCCTCTTAAATGAGGGTGAGGGGGTAAACAAAGAAATGGAAGAGAAGGATTTTCCCCATGTCTCCTTTCTCAAGGAAAGGCACTTCTCTGCCAGAGCCCTAGAGGCACGCACTGAAGGAGTTGCTCCAAATGCTCAGTTGCCCCAGCTGCCACAGACCACCTGGTGCTGTTTCTTCTGTCCCTGTCAAGTCTTCTCTCACTTCCACTGCCACTGCCTCATTTCCAGCTCTTGTGTGAACCTCAGTGTCACCATAACATTGCACCTGGGCTCCTTCCTCCACTCCACGCATCCTGCCCACCGCCAGAGGAGCTTTCGGAAAGCAGACCTTGTCACTCTCCTGCTTAAAAACATTACTTTAACCAAGTGTGAGCCCCGGTACCAAAAAAATTACTTTCAAATAAATCTTTTTCTTTTTTTCTTTTTGCTTTTCCCTGAAACTTAAAAAAAACAAAAACAAAAACCTTTCTACTGTTAAATGCAACACAAATATGTTAAGTGCATAAAGACTTTTTTTTTAATCCCTGAGCTGATTTCTCTCTCTGTCTTACGTGTCCTTGCCTTCTCTCATCCCCCTACCTCATTTCTGCTTCATGTTTTTCAAGCCTCTGGTCAGGTATAGGAAACCTCACCCAAGGGATATTTATTCCTTCCCACTGTGAGTCTCACTCTGTCCTTAACCTTTGTGAACTCTTCTCTTATACTGTGTTGTGGCTGTGTGACTTGTCTTTTTCCCCTCAGAAACTATGAAAGTATTGAGAATGATGTGTCTCAGTCCCAGAACTTTCTCCAGGACTGACTCCTAGGTGGGAGTCCCATTTAAAGCCAAGGCCCTGGGAGAAGGCTGGACTCCTGTGAGGCCTCTGTGAGAGACGAGAGCAGTCTCCTGGGCAGAGGGAGAAGCTCTCACATTGATATCCCTCTGCCCAGGAACAGTTACTGTCTTCATCTCTGTGAGCGGCACCACATTAGACCAGCCCTCAGGATGTGGAAGAAGAGCAGAATTTTTTCCCTGGAACACATATGGAAGTTCATTACCTACACAACTTACAAGGGAAATTTGTAGAGCAGGAACAAGTAAAAGCAGATTCTATTATCAGACATACTTTTAGAAATAGAGATGTTTGTATATTCATAGGAATAGTCTCAACATGTATTTCCTGAAATGTTACTAATATCTGGGATTTTGACAGATCTTCTATTATTGTTGTCATTTTTGTATTTTAAAAATGTGTGTAAGTTTATATTTCATTTATATTTCTAAAAATTCCAGAAGTTAAATTCTATTTATACTGATTCGATTATTATCAAAGAATTTTGCTATTGTTGTTTTGAGACAGGGTTTTATATGTAACACTTTAAAAGAATATTTAGATCTACTCTTTTTTTAAAATGTGACTCAGGTGTTATTACAGGATTATAAACCTGTAATCCCAGTATTCTGAGAGGCTGAGGCAGGAGGGTCACAAGTTCAAGCCTATCCTGGGCAGCTTGACAAAAGTCTGGCTAAAAAAATAAAAATAAAAAATAAAGGCTGGGAATGTTGCTTAATGCAAAGGCCCTGGGTTCTATTCTGAAGTTTTTGAAGATACTCCATACCCAGTACCCCCTAAAAAAAGATTTTTTAAATTATTCCAATTATTCCAATAAACCACAGGCAAACAAATATATTTTGATCACCTACTATGAGATTTATAGGTACTCTGACTTAAAAAAAAACTTAGTTGACTATAAGGGTGCTTTTTTGTGTCCATTTAAACTCTAAATAGTTTGTAGGAGGTTTGACTGATATTGAGGTCTTCAGAGTATTGATCATCACATCATCTCCCCTTTGCAGTGTGGATTATGTGAGAAGTGGTCATGGCAGCCACATGGAATAAAAATAGCTTTATTTCTTTGCTTTTTTACTTGTTGAAGAAAAAATTAACAGTATTTTTAATGAAAACAAGGGGTGGTTAGTGTTTATTTTTTTTAAATCTTAGCCAAATGCTTTGTGATAAGAGTTTTGGAGATGTAATTCAAAGTTCAATTTAATATTTGGCTCAAAAAACAGTACTCTAAACCATTTACCCATTGATAGAATCCACTTAGATTGATTCTATACGTTGGCTACTACTCAGTTTCATTCCTTTTGGTTATATACCCAGGGTTGGGATTGCTGAATCAGCTGGTATTTCCGTTGTGAAGTTTTTGAAGGTACTTCATACTGTTTTCCATGATGGTTATACCAGTTTACATTCCTACCAACAGAGTACAGGGGTGCCCTCTTTTCTACATCCTTATCTGTACTTGTTAATTTTTGTCTTTTTGATAATAGCCATTCTAGCAGGCATGAGGGGATAGCTCTTTGTGGTTTTAATTTGCATTTCAACCTTAAGTGTCCATCAGCCAATGACTGGATAAAGAGAAGTGGTAAACCAGGCATGAGGTCCATGCCTGTAATCTAAGCACTCGGGAGTCTGAGGCAGGAGTATTGCTGTGAGTTCAAGGCCAACCTGGGCTATGTAGTTCAAGGCCAGCCTAAAATACAGAGCAAGACCCTGTCTCAAAAAAAAAAAAAATATGATTGGGGCCGGGGATTTAGCTCACTGATGCCACCGCCTGCCTCGCAAGCGCCAGGTCCAGAGTTTGATCCCCGGTACCACTAAAAAAAAAAAAAAGAGAGAGAGTGATAAACATTCACAATCAAACCAGTCTTTTTTACAGAAGGAAATCTTCAATATATATGAACTTGGAGGCTAATATAAATCCAGTTAAATAAATCCAGTAACAAGAAAATGAATAATGCATGATCTCACTTCTGTGGAATCAGCACTGTAGAAGCAGAGAGTAGAATAGTCATGACCAGGGGCTGCAAAGTATTGGGGTTGGTGATTAGGGAGATGTTGGTCAAGGAGAAAACGTTTTAGTTAGGGATGAGGGTGTAGTTGAGTGGTACAGCACATGCTTACAAAGAAAGTGGTAGAGCACGGCAAAAAAGAAAAAAAGTAGGTAGATAGGAGAAGTAAGTTCAGGAGACCTATTGTACGTCATTGTGACTGTAGTGAACAATACAATCATTAGGTAACTGAAAATTGCTAAGAGAGTAGAGGACTGTTTTGCTTTTTTGTCTTGTTTTTTTTTACAGTCCTAGGGCTTGAACCCAGGGCCTCACACATGCTAAGCAAACATTCTACCACTGAATCTACTTGAGAGTAGATTTTTAAAGTGTTTTCACCACGAAAATGGTAAATTTGTGAAATGATAATGTGTGCTAATTAGCTTGATGCAGCCATTCCACAATACATTCAGTTTTCAAAACATCATGTTGTATACCACAAATATGGATAGCTTTATCTTTTTTTTGGTATCCGGAATCGAACTCAGGTCCTTGCGTTTGCGCAGCAAGTGGTAAAACCACTGAGCTAAATCCCCAGCCTGATAACTTTATCATTTAAGAAATTAATAATAATCTTTGGTGAAAAGATACCTCACAAAAATAAGGTAGATAAATGGAAAAGTAAATCATTGGATGCATTTACTAAATCACAGTACTCATTTTGAAATCCTGTCTACCAGTTATGCAGAGATTTTTATTGACATTCCTTGATCTCAAAGAGTGATTCTTCTAAACAAATCAGAAGTGGCATTTTTACATTTAAAAACAAAAAGTCCAGAGCCCACTGAGATTCTGATTGGAAGATTTTCAACAGGTAAAAGACTTAAGTTTTTAAAATAAGGAGAAAATATTTAAAGCCCGTTCACACCATTTTCAGATACAAAATCATCACCATGGCAACATTTCTGAACATCCATTTTCACATGCTGTCTCTGTGGCATAAATATCTTTCTGTGGCATAAGTATCTTTTTGAAAAGCAGTTTACTTTTTATTTATTATTACAATTTCATCTTAACCCTGAAGGGGAAAATCATGTTTATTTTTTTGGAGGGAGAGTATCTGTTAGGTAGTATATTCTTATCATCAACCACTTATAGAAAAGACCAACAAATTTAGGACACTTAGGTTTTCCAAAAAGAAAAATTAATTGCCCATCAACGTTGTAAGACAGCTCTTCTAAGTATTTTCCCATGGGTAACCACTGACTCTTGTGTGACACATAGGATTTTAATGGTGATTTTACCTCTTGTTACAAAATTTGATAAATGGTTTTCTCTTTAAGATTTTGTTTTTATTGCTTATATACATTCTACAGCAAGTAAACAGCAGTATGTTGGGAAGAGATGCAAAGGTTGCAAGTACACAAGGTGCCACCCAGCCTTCTTAGCATTCTAGATCTTTCCTCAGCATTCCAGGGTTTGCAATGTGTGATTCTCAAGACTGAAATTAATGAGGCACCAGTGTGCCTGTATGTTTATTAAACTTGCTTTCTTCCATTGTGTTTTAGGTTACAATATAAATAGAGGGTCTAACTTTCCCCCTGCACTCTTGTGGATATTATGTGCTCTGTGGGACACATATACATCTGTGTCCTTTTGGAGATGCCCCAGCCCCATCTCAGCTTAGGGGAGACCCCTAGGATTTGGCTCTTGTCTACTCTGCTGACTCATTTTCTACCACAAGCCGCCTTGTAATATGTACTCAGGCAGCTCCGCACTGCTTCTACCTTTCCTTTTGGCACCATGCTCTCACCTCTGCCTATGATGTCCTTCTCACAGTCTTCTTCCCCTCCTCTACTGTGCCTTTTAAAAGTCAGTAGGGCACTGTTAAGAGCCTTTCATTTCCCCTAGTACCAAATTAGGCATGTGTTCATGGAATATTGTGTGTGTCTCTGATACTGTGTTTATCACTGGTATTTTATTATGTTTGTGTCACTCCCTCTGTGCCACAGCTTCCTTGAGGGCAAAGAACAGATATTAACTTACATAGGTTAGAGATATTTTTATGACTGAATGAATGGAACAATCTCTTAGTGAACATCCATTACCGGAGAATTTATTTCTAAGGAAGGAGGTTGACATATTCATTGATGTCTACTTGAAGCATTGGTGTACAGTCCATTTGGCCTCTTCACAGAGAGTCTTCTATCCAGCAACCTTTCCCTTTTAACTTGATGTATATTTCTGACCTCTTTTTTAATAAAGATATGTATATGTTCATTTATACCTTTTAACCTCTCAACCTCTTAATCTTTTTTTTTTTTTTTTTGGCTTTGCAGGCTTTGGATGGATTTTTCTTTGTTGTGAACTGTGAAGGGAGAATTGTATTTGTGTCAGAGAATGTGACCAGCTACTTGGGTTACAATCAGGAGGAATTAATGAATACCAGCGTCTACAGCATACTGCACGTGGGGGACCACGCAGAATTTGTCAAGAATCTGCTACCAAAATCACTAGGTAGAAAGAAATTCATCTCTTAAAAGAATGCTCTCTGTACCTTCTTCTTTCATACTATATGTGATATTATGTGATTAATTCTATGTATAGTACAAAATAATATATACTCAAAATATTTTGATTGTATTTCATTTTCAGATGTATTGAACAGCTGATAAGAGACATTCATCATCATCTTCTTCTCCTCCTCCTTCCTCTTTCTTCTTCTCCTTCTCCTCCTTCCTCTTTCTTCTTCTTTCTTCTTCTTTCTCCTTTTTTCTCCTTCTTTCTTCTTTCTTTTTCTTTCTTCTTCTTCTTCTTCCTGGTCCTGAGGATCAAACTCAGGACCTTGTGCTTGCCAGGCAGGCGTGGTGCCCCGAGCTACATCCCTGGCCCCTCCCCATCATCTTCTGCACAGTGCCATTATTAGGTAACAGTAGTGAGAGACAGAGTAGTTACCTGTCTTGCCACAAGAAGCTTCTGCTTTAAATCCCCTTTGTTTTCAATTTTTATTATGTCCAAGAAAGAGACATAGGTCTTCCCTACCACTTTGCTCAAAAGAAAAGGAGGGGAAGGAGGAGAAAAGGAAGGAATGTATTGCTCTGTTATGTTCTTATTAATATTTCGAGGGTATAAATGCTTGCAGTCCCAAGAATAATTAGGTTGTCCACTGCCGGGGACCCCAGCTAGAAGGATGGATAAGATTGATTTCCATCTTCATTAAGCCATATGCCTTGGGGCAGGGCTGAGTCCTTAGGAGTTAGGGGAAGTTTTATTAAATCGCTAGAACGTAGATGGACTAACAACAGCCCTTTGCCTACTTCTCGAATATTCAGGCTCCTACTAATGCTTTTCAGAACTCCAGTTCCAATTAGTCCCAGTAATTGGATTCCTATGTCTCCATCTGAGTGGGTATTTTTTTCAATAATCAGTATACATTTTGTTAGCAAATAAGAAATTTTTCATAATTTGAAGCTCCATTCCATTTCAGAATTTTTATTCCTATTTTTTCCCCTCATTTCTTTGTTCAGTGAGTTCTGAAATAAGACCAGTTCATCACAGAGATAAATTGATCACACATCAGTATTTCACACAGATACTGTGTGATAAAATATTTGGGTAGTAGAATTAGGAGGGTTCTAGCCATCATTTAGTATGGGAACTGAGACAGGTGGTCAAGTAAGTTAAACAGTGTTTTGTTTTGTTTGATTTGGTTTTGTTTGAAATAGGATTTTGCTGTGTAGTCCAGGGAAACTTTGAACTTGCTACCCTCAAACTCTCAATCCTACTGCCTCAGCCTCAGTGCTGGGATTATAGTTACTTACCACCACATCCAGGGAAATCAAACAGTTTAAGGTTCCCCTGATGCCACTGTAGATGCTACTTAGATTTTCTTTCTCGGGATTTAGATTTAGTGTTCAGACTGGATTTAGAGTTTAAGGACTATTCAAATAAGTTTAATGAAACTTGCATTTTTTAAAAAACTACTTTCCTCATCTTGGTAACGAGGTATCTGTTGAGTTTAACAGTGTGCCTGGTTGGGAGGAGAACGGAGGTCACAAAAAATAAGGCTGAACGACTCATAGCAGCTAAATCTCGAAAAGAGCCTACATATCCATCAGCAGATGACGGGATTAAAAAACTGTGGTATACATACACAGTGGAGTACTACTCAGCCATAAGGAATGATAAATATGAGTCATCAGTAGGAAAATGGTTACACCTTGAGCCCATCAGGTTAAGTGAAATAACTCAGACACATGAGCTAAATATCATATGGTTTCTCATATGATAAGAGCAAGGGCCGGGGATTTAGTTCAGTGGTTCCGTTCTGTTGCCTGCCTTAAAAGCACAAGATCCTGAGTTCAATCCCCGGTACAAAAAAAAAAGATAGATAATACAAAATAAGGAGCTAGATCCTTTGTAAGTGGAAAGGGAGTCTAGAGATGGAAGAAGGGAGGTAGGGGAGGGCAAGGGGAAGTAAAAAGAATTAAGATGTGTTCTGGGGCCAGGGATTTAGCTCAGTGGTTCTGCCGCCTGCCTTGCAAGTGCAAGGACCTGAGTTCTATCCCCTGTACCAAAAAAAAAAACAAGATGTGTTCTGTACATGTGCCAACTCCCCTACAATGAATGTAATCATTGTGTACAACAAACATTACTAATAAACATTAAAAAAGAAAAAAATAAATCTAAGCAGTCTTCTGCTGCTGAATAAGAGGCTTATTGGTTGTGGAAGAACTACTGAACATCCCTTCTCAGCATGATTACTGCAGGTCACTGACTAGGTCATCCCTGATCACTATCAGGAGGTGAACATGGAGGGAGCGACATCTGTTATCTGACTCATTGACAATGCTGCTCTCAGCAATCCAGGGCACAGGCCCCAGCAGCTCTGGCAGTTCATCACCACCTTCTCTTGAAAGGCCCCCTTCCACCATAGGGAGGGATGTGGGACTTCTGCTGCAGAGGCATCTTGCTGTCCTCCCCGCAAAGAATGAAAGATCAAAAACATGACAAATAACATGATACTGTACCGTGCCTTTGCTGTCATGCACGATCAAGGAGACAAGCAGAGATGAGGCAATCTCAGTGGCAACAGGTCAGATCACCTAGTTTTACAGTGATGGTTGATCACCCATTAGAAACAATGAGATGGCCCCATCCAAAGAATAAAACCCAGCAGCACTAACTTGGAAAGTCCAGTACTTCTCTCTAGCTATTTCCAAGAAGTATTGAGAAGAAAAATATACTACAGTGCCCATATTTAAACCTCCATTACCTGAGCAATCAAATTATTAGCAAATCAAAGAAAGAAAGTGGAATTATATGTATATTCAGCCCCCAGAAAAAAGTCAAGGTTCAGAAACTATCAAAAGAAAACTTTGAAGAATATGATCATATATATATATATATATATATATATACACACACACACACACACACACACACACACACTCTCTCTCCCTATATGCAAGTATCACATGGCACAAAAGAGTATATTCTTATTTTTCATTTACTATCAAGAAGAATTTTTGAAGAAAAAAGTCAGAAGCCAAACTGTTTAAAATTTGCTTTTGAGGGCTGGGGATTTAGCTCAGTGGCACCGAGCCTGCCCTCCAAGTACAAGGTCCTGAGTTCAATCCCCAGTACTGCAAAATAAATAAATAAATATAAATAAATTTTTTAAAAAATTTGCTTTTGAATTTAATGATTTAGAAGATTTCAAGATCTAAAATCCATGCTTTCTAAGCATGACATTTTATTCATAAAAAATAAATCTCAACACTGAAAAGCTACTATAGTGATCTTGTCCAAAAGCACAAATATGCACAGATATTTTTAAAATGTTATGTTGTGAAAGATTAAGATGTTAATGAGTATATACTTATTTGTGAAGTTCTAGTAAATTAGATTTGAAAAAAATTAAAAATAAGTTCTCATAAATTAATGGCAGTTGTGTCTCAAGTGATGCAGACACTATAGTAATTGAGAACACAAGCTTTTGGTATAAAGCAGACATGGAGTATCCATTCTCCCTTTAGCACTTGTTGTGTGTTGTTGGACAAGACACTTGACTCCCTTTTAGCTTCATCTTTCATTGGAAAGTTGAGAGATAAATAGTGCTTCACACATTCCCTAGCCAAATTCCCTTTAAACTTTAGCTATTATTACTACTATTATTGGCTTTATCTAAATGTTTTGGAGCTTTTAATTTCATGAATGATAAATATATAATGTTTGAATCAAAATTACTTGATATTTTAGATTGTTTTTAGCTTAGACATTGATTTCAAGGAAGAACTGTCTTGTCCTGTCATAATATGCTTCTTACTTAGTCTGTTCCATAAAAATTATTGAGGCAGGCTTTGTTTTACAGATCACAATCAGTAGAGTTCAGTTGTCAGTTCTTCCTTTCTACCAGTAAATTGTAATGCAGTGCTACTTCTATCTTTCAAAGGGGCTTGTTTGGTAGTCTTTTATTTGTGGCTTTCATCCTTTTAAAGAGAAATTATGTGGTGAATTAAAAAAGCAATTGCATAAAGATTAGGTAAACTGCTTTCCAGCTGGATAATCTTAACTAACCCCCAACACAAAATACTAAGTTTTGTCAGAGTTTTATACCTTTAGTCTAGATCTGTTGTTTCCATTCCACAAAGAACATAGAGTTTGTATTTGTGATGCTGTTCTCTCTAGCTCAATGCTTACTGTTTAAAAGAAGATTTAATTTTAAAAAGTTATAAACTATCAGGGTAAATTAATTTTGATAACTTAAAAGAAATCCAATTAGTATTACTAAATTCCAGGAACCTAGAAAGATCACCAAAAAATTTACCAACATATATTGGAGGGAGTCTATATTTTGGAAGTGATCTTGCCATTAATTTTTTGTTATTGTTGTTGTTTTGAGACAGGGTCTTACTCTAAGGTTCAGGCTATTCTTGAACTCACTAAGTAGCCCAAGCTGGCCTCGAACTCCTGGCAGTCTTCTGCCTCAGCCTCCTAAGTGCTGGGATTACAGGTGTGCAACACCACACCCAGCCTCACCATTAATTATTGCCCTAAGATATGATAACTAACCCGTAAATTATCAGAGTTGCTGTAGTTGCTTTAGCTACCATGATCAGTTTTCAAGTTTGTTTGTTTTTTAACTTCTCAAAAAATAGGGCCAGGGATTTAGCTCAGTGGTTCCGTCAGCCTGCCTCTCAACCACAAGGTCCCGAGTTTGATCCCCCGTACCAAAAAAACAAGCAGAAAAATGTTTCCTACACTTAGTATAATAGGTTATGAAATTGCCCTCTGTTTTTCTCTTGGTTCCTTCTGCTACCCTGACTCCTAGCTACCCCTCAACCTTTTTTGTTTTCTTTACTCTCTCTCTCTTTTATTTTTTTCCTTCCCCAGTGCTGGGGATTGAACCCAGCATCTTACACATGCTAGCCAAGCTCTCTACCACTGAGCTACATCCCTGGCCCTCTACCTTCTTTTATACCTGTACTGAGTGTTTTTAGATGCAGCATTTAGCAAGTAGCTTTCTTTGCATATACCTTCAGTAAAGTAAACTGTCCCTTATAACTGAATAGCTCAGGGTAAATATCATTCAAACCAAATATCAAACAACATCTTAACTTTTTTAAAACTTAAAATTATTTTTAATCATGGGGTCCTATTTACTTTAATTGGAGACTTTTCCTAAGAATTAAAGAATTTAATCAGTTAATTCAATACTTGAGAGAGCTCTTAAAAAATAATGAGTATGTTAATTTTTGCCTGAATTTTACCCCCTCCTTGATCTTCCACTCATTAGCCTATATGTGCTAGAAAAATGGTAGGAGGAAGGCACTGCGAGAAATCCTCTGTAAGTAAATCACACATGCATACAAAATGTCATCCATAACTATTTTCTACATTGTTCCCTAAATGGCACAAAAAACTTATTTCTTCTCTTTTTTTGGTACCAGGGATTGAACTCAGGACCTTGCACTTGGGAAGCAGGCGGCAGAACCACTGAGCTAAATCCCCGACCCTATTTCTAAAAGGAAGGGTAGCGTTTATAGTAACTGAGGACTTGAAATGACGCTTCCTGTAAAATCACTGTTTTGATATTTGAATTACAGTATCAGAAGGTCTTATGTGTTTTGTTGTAGAATTTCAGAATGAAAATTTCAAAGTTTTTTAGAAATAATGTAGTAGATTCTTTATTTTGAAGATGAAGCAACTGGAAATCAAAGATTAATTAACCCAAACCTCACAGGTAGCAAAAACTTCTTACTCCAATGCAGGTTTATTTCCATGCTTTCCTCTAACATTTAAAGTGAAATGGAAAAAAGAAAAAGGAAAACGGGTCAGTGCAGAGTATAGGGTAAGCAAACATTTGGGAATGGTGAGAGAGTAACCTTAAAAATCCTCTGAACTTCTGATGACCTCCTTAATCTCGATATGACTCTGTGACTGGAAAATCATGACCACCATAAATTATTACTTGAAGCATGCAGACATCTTTACTATTGCAAAATTCAATTTTCTTATACTGAATCAGGTAATATTTCTTTTTCACCAATCTTTTTATATAACATATTGATTGTCTTCCATATTTAAAGTATTATAGCACATGCACTATGGTGGTAAAATTAATTAAAGCACAAAAAAATGGTTGTAAGAAACATTACTCTGTACCTATTCTAAATATTTTTGGAAAGAAGTCTAATTAATTATATGAAATACAGGGGATAACAGACCCCTGGAGAAGCTCGGAATCTTCTCCCCAGAAAATGCACATGCACATAAGCTGACCCTTGAAGGCCCAGGCCGGCTGCCGAAGACCCCTGTGTAACAGTGCAGCCGTGATTTTGAGTCATTTTTCCATTGCCAAGGAATAGCTGGAAACAAGCAGGCGCTCATTAATTAACTACTATAAAATTCTGAGTGAAGCAGCTAGCAATTTTTAATTTTTGTCTTTGTTTATAAAGGTTGTAACTGAACTAGAGTATCTGAGGGAAGAGACCTTATACATTTTAAATATCAGAAATGTTATGCTTTCTAACTGGTAGATGTTTAGATTTGCTAAGGAAGATAAATATCCTGTTGCCTTAGGATAATGTTAGATCTGAAGAGGTCTGTCTGTGTTTTAATCGGAGTAATTACCCAGATGGCTTGAAGTATGTCCTTTATATCTTTGGATTTTATACTTTTTCACCTTACTCACAATCACATAACATCAATTTTTTTTTTGCCCCAGTAAATGGAGTTCCTTGGCCTCAAGAGGCAACACGCCGAAATAGCCATACTTTTAACTGCAGGATGCTAATTCACCCTCCAGATGAGCCAGGTACCGAGAACCAAGAAGCTTGCCAGCGGTACGAAGTAATGCAGTGTTTCACTGTGTCGCAGCCAAAATCAATCCAAGAGGATGGAGAAGGTAAGGCACAAGATCGTTGTAAAGTGTTTGTTTTTTCCTACAATTTGAAAGAACAGGGAAGGAATTAATTATAATCTGCCTTCTTCGCATAGTATTTTTTGTTACTATATTGTGTATCCCAGAAGCCATTCAATTTGTGATATGTTTCTTACTATTAAAAAAAAACCCTCTACTTACTAACATCTAAAATTCCTCTTTAAAATGTCCCCAATTTCACAGCTTTAAGCTTAAATGTCAAATAATTCAAACCAACTTGTTGTCTAAAAATGAGAGATGTAACTAACTGCTGTCAGTTGGAACTGTATCAGATGCAGCAGGCTGTTGAACAGCTCTGATTTTTAGAAAGTTTCAAGTTTAGAATGTAGGGAACATTGGAAGATAGAGTTGACATTTTTCAGGCTATGCACAGTGGTTTCTAAGGAGGTAGCTTTATGAATAGATGAAAACATAGCCGAAGCTGTAATGTGCACATTGGATTAGCATGGATTTATATATGTGATGGTGGGTAAGTCTTCCATGTCAACTTAGACTGACCTAAGTTTAGGAACACCACAAACTGGGAACTGGTGTAAGGACCAGGGAAGGTGGTAGAGAAGAAGTTGGTCAGATGCAAAATAGCCCCGTGTATAGCAGATCTCACCAGGAAATGGAGGTCACACTCAACCTTTCACAAAATACACATGCCATGTCTTATATGATTAACTGTGTGTTATTTATGTAGCACTGTCAAAACAAAATTTAGAAATGGGGCTTCAAAAAACCTATATATCCTACCAACAATATCCACAATAAATGTGTTCGTTATGTACCGCAAATGTATACTAATAAATTATATGCCCTAAAGACAGTCCTTTGTCAAAAGCAGAATAATAATTCAGAAAAAAGATTGTTTTTCTCAGTTAACAATAGTTGATAATTATCTGTGTATTAGTTATCAGAGTAATCTTTATAGCCATTAAGTACTGACGAATATGAGAAATTGACTAAAAAAGTGCATTTAGAAAAAACATCATGTTAGGTATTGTGAGTGTAAAATATTCTACTGTTGGCATCCACAAGGCCCTGGGTTTAGTCAACAGTTTTTTTTTAAATGGTGTTGCTTACATCTAACTAAAACTACTATTTCTAGTTTTTATCAATCCAGGTACATGAGATGCTTCGGTCTTCTGTAGTTCATGTAAGAACACTTAATGGGAAGGAATTCTTTATTCTAACTTCCTCTCAACCTAGAGCTCCAGGTTTTGGTTGCCAGCAATTTTATTTCTCTTTTTTTTTTTTTTTTAGTACCGAGGATCAAACTCAGGACCTTGCACTTTCGAGGCCAGTGCTGGCACCACTGAGCTAAATCCCCAGCCCATCAGCAATTTTATTTCTAATATACTATTATATCACAGTGATTCTAATATTAAATCCTGTAACATATGGTTTTTATAAAATAAAAAAACCATTAATGGCAAGTAATAGGTGCAAACCATTTACTCTCTTTCCCTCGATCTCCCCTTGTTTTGGGCAGATTTCCAGTCATGTTTGATTTGTATTGCACGGCGATTACCTCGGCCTCCAGCAATTACAGGCGTAGAATCCTTTATGACCAAGCAAGATACTACAGGTACTCACTGTATAGTTCAGAATATTTTATAGGTATTGTTGAAGTGACTGTCTCCATAAAACTAATGTCCAAAATGTTATGTCTTTCTGTTCTGTTCCCTAGTCTGATACAGAAAACATTTTAAGTAGTACTCTTGATATGGTTCATTTTAGGTGCTGTAAATCATTATTGTCATAGGCAAGGTGTGCTGGGAAGACCAGTTTGGGGTGGGGGGTACCGGGTATCGAACTCAGGACCTTGCGCTTGCAAGGCAGGCAACAGAACCACTGAACTAAATCCCCGGCCCCTACCAGTTTTTTGGGGTTTTTTTCCCTACCAGTTTTTATAACTTCAGATACCTATATTTTTATTACAAATTAGTTTTATAGTCATGTAAGAAAATGTTTAAAGAAATTTGGCAGATATAGATATATAAATATGTGAAGTGCACATTTATACATTTACAAATGGATATGAATTTGTTAGTTTTAATATTATGCTTAAATGTGTTTGTCTATTTCTTTTTTTCTTCATTCTTTTTCTTTAAATTTATTCAGCACATACTCTTTGAGTCCTCAGGAATAACTGTGACTGTGTGAGATTGCTCAGGATATGTATGATTGAACAAAGTTCAATGATGTGATTACTTACTGGGATATGTTTTATGATGGAAAAGGTGTGATATGGTGCAAGTCAGAATTGGTTTTAAAGTTACCAAGCCTTCAGGCCTGAGGCTCAAGTTGATATCGAGTCCTTAGGCCCCAAAGGTGGGAAATGGTGCCAGCCAGCCTACATACGGTGCCAGAAAGGACCAGGAAGGAGGAAGGGTCTTGGTGCCATGAGTGCTTCTGAGTGAGGAAACGCCTGTAAGACAGAAAGGTGTATTGGGAGAACCGAAAGAAGCACAGTTGAACCACAAAGGGAGAAATGATGGGAGTGCTTGAAAAGCAGGTCTTCTTTTTAAAGGCCTACTTCAAATTTCATTTTCATCAAGAACAGACTGCTATTCTTTCAATTTCCAAAGTATTGGTTATTTAATTTTATCTTCATACTAACCCATCATGCTTTTACATCCATCAGTTATAGCTCTATCACTTGTCTCATTTAAAAATAGAGATAGATACTAGAGATATACTTTTGAGATTTAAAAATCACTTCTACTGAATTGTATTCATTGTTAAAGTTCAGTTTTAATGTGTATTTTGACTTTTATCATTCTTTATAAAATCTCCTTTTGTCTTTAATGAATCTTTTAGTCCCAGAAATCTAATATACTTGTATGCTTTGTTCTTTTGTTTTTAATGATAAACTCAAAACTGCTTCTCCTAAAGACCAGGGAGCACAAATTAGCACAGATAATAGGAGACAGTGAAGATAATGTCTAGGAGCTTGGAGAGATAGTACCTGACAATAGGAGTAATCAGTTAGCATACCGTTTTTCATTCCCTTTTAAGTCTACCATGTATCCTATCCCTTTCCATCTTCTACCAATGAACAATACTGGAAAAACTTAATGAACCCTTAGTGGAAACCAAAAGTATTATATTTAGAGGAGAAATAGGGTTCATTTAAAAAGAAAGCTAGTCTTTTGTGTCAATAACTGGTTAATATTAAACAAAACCAAATAATGGCATTGTGAGATAGAGTAAACCTGCTGGAAGGGTGATTGAAATGCTGCAGAATAAATGTCAGAAATGAGAGCTAATTTAGGAGCAATATGTTTCAGCTTTTCCTCATATTATATTTATATAAATTAAATCCTAAATTGGGTAATTTGAAAGAAGAATGTATTTTCCCATAGGAACGATATTAATAGTGGTAGTTTTGTGTGTTGCTAAGGACACAGCATTAAAATTCCTTCTATGCCTGACAGTATGTGTAAACATATAAAAATCATGATCAGGCTGGGGATTTAGCTCAGTGGTTCCACCACCTGCCCCACAAGTGCAAGGTCCCGAGTTCAATCCCTGGTACCAAAAAAAAAAAATGATCATTTAAAATTTTAAGAATTAATCTCTGGGCCATAAAATAATCTCAGAAATCACAGAATCCACCTTACTCCTTTTATGAATAGTAAATACCAAATGGTTGCTGAGAATGGAAATCTTTACCTCTAATATAGAACCCTGTACGTTGTATTGCCTCCCACCACAGCATATTAAAAGAACATCACTGTACTGTACACATCATACAAAGATAGCAGAGAAATATAAAATATACTTAAAATGTAAAACTAACATTGTATCATAGAACTGACTTAGCTAAAAAGAGAAATGAGCTTTGGGGCCAGGATTCAGCTTAGTGGTGCCTCCGCCTGCCTCGCAGGTGCAAGGTCCTGAGTTCGATCCTGGTACAAAAAAAAAGACCTATAATACAGTTAAGCATTTAATTTCTTAAATTTAAGTAGCACTTTTAACTCTGCATGGGATAGTCCATGTCTTTTTCTTTTTCTTTTTTTTTTTTTTTTTTGGTACCGGGGATCGAACTCAGGTCCTTCTGCTTACAAGGCAGGCAGCGGAACCACTGACCTAAATCCCTGGCCCATAGTCCATGTCTTTTTAAAACAAAAAATCTCCTACTGGGAAATATTGAACAGTGCTTTGCTTTGTTTTGTTTTGTTTCTGTTTGTTTGGTTGGTTGGTTGGTTGGTTGGTTACACTTTCCTCAAGCAAGCAGAAGTATGTATTCTAAATCAAGCTATTCAGGGTTCTTCTCTGAGGGAGTCATTGCATTACCCAGTCATTTAGAACCATTGCTGACAGCTTAATCACTTTCTCCCCTATAGTCCCACAATTCCAGACTCTTGCTCTCTTGTGGGCCAACACTGACACAAACACACACATATAACGTGCATGCACACACGCACTCCCATGCCTCCCTTAGTACTTTTCTATGAGAAGCCTTACTGTATATGAAGATTATGGATTGGTAGAATTGTGCTGTAGCCAAGTCTTTATCTCTAAAGTAATAAGTGAAAAGATTAAATAATTTAAAACCCAAAATTGTCTGTACTTTCAGTCACATTGTTCACTGGGCTTTCTCTGAACAGTTCTTAAGCACAACATTCTCTTGTTTGAATTTGAGTTGATTTTCTTTCTATCCTCTGCATTTATGCCAACTTGAATAATATCCTGATCAAGTTGGATTAAGTACATCAAATTCAAAATCCTAAGTTTAAAAGATCTAATGATTTTATTATTAGGAAAACCAAGTGGAATATATAAAGAAGGAATTAGCTGAATGAGTAGGAACACATATGTGATCAATTTGAGTTGATTGTATGAGAAAAGGGAAGGTAGGTAAAAGATACAATCAGGCATTCACAGAAGAGAAAACATTAATAGTGAATAAATATGAAAAATATTTGCCCTCATTAGTAATTGAGGAAATCTAAACTTAGATCACAATGAGATGCCATTTTTCACCTATTAATTTTTAAAAACTAAGCTAAGCATTGTGGCCCTCTGGGAGACTGAAGCAGGAGGATAGCAAGTTTGATCCCAGCCTAGGTAACTTGGCAAGAATTGTCTCAAAAATAAAAAATGGGCTTGGATGTATCTCAGTGCAAAGGACCTGGATTCGATACCCAGTACCAGGGAAAAAAAAGAGAAGGAGCCTGATGATACCAAGTGATTGAAGGATGTTAGATTGCCAGTAACACTTTTTTTATGCTGGGATTGAAGCAAAGGCCTTAGGCATGCTAACCATGTGCTCTACCACTGAGCTACAAACCCAGCCCCAGTAATAACTCTGATACATTACTGGTAGGAATATAGCATCATACAAGTTTCTACAAGACAGTTTAAGTTAATATTACATAGCTGAACATCTGGTATAACCTGCAACCCAGTAGTTCTATCCCTTCATATATACACTAGCGAAATTCTCACACACATTGGCCAGGCAGCATGTGAAAGATGTGCATAGCAGCATTGACTTTGTGGCAAAAAACAAAAAACTGGGAACAGACTAGACACCCAACTACAGGAATATGTGAAGACAGAGGGGAATGTGATACAGGAAGAGTGTACACATAGTGGACTGAAGTTGGTAGTCTCAAGTTCTGAAATTGGGTGGGAGGTTGGCTGGTTTTCCTTCTATTATGTAATCCTTAATTCATATATAAGATTGCATAAAATAGGTCTGAGGAATGACAATGAAGAATAACTGAAGAATAATTTTTCGGAGTTTTCTCATTGTCACTTAGGAATTTTAACCAACTGTGTAACAACAGCAGATCACCGCTAGATTTTATAAGGTATATGTTCTATGTGTCTGGTGCCTAGAAAATCTTAATCTTTTCACTTATTAGCTTTTTCTGGTTTAACTTTTATTGCCTTCAGTCTTTGTTTATTCGTAAGTACAGGATTGCCTGTAGCCCAACAAGAGGTAGGAAGGGAAAGACATGCTTTCTTTCTCATATTCTCTTCACTCAGTTATTGGAAAATTATTTAAACCAAAACAACATACATATTTCATCACTGCGCTTCTTTCCCTAATAAGTGGTCCAGTCAGTCATCAGTAGATAGAAAGCAGAATCAAAAAGTAAGCCAGAGAAGTTTGAAGTGCATTATTCTCAGCAGCTTCAGATCATTATTGGATGGCTTTAATACTTAACTGGAACTGAATTTTACACTATGACAGCTGGGCGTGGTGGTGCACTCCTGTAATCCTAGTACTCAGACTGAGGCAAGAGGATTGCTGTGAGTTCAAGGCCAGTCTGAACTACATAGTGAGACCCTGTCTCAAAAAAAAAAAAGAAAGAAACTAAACTATGACATATTAGTGTATAACATACTTCAAAACCAAAACAGTTTTTATAATGTCTCTAATATTGTCCATTACCATATGTAATAATAAAAATAAATAGTGCTTTTCAATGTTTTTGTCTATTGAGCATATGAAGAGACATAATATTCCTTGGATGCAACTGTTAGTTTTGAAATATGGATGATTTATGTCAAGGGGATATCATAAATGTAAACTTTCATTCTTTGTATAGGCAAAATCATCTCTATTGATACCAGTTCCCTGAGAGCTGCTGGCAGAACTGGCTGGGAAGATTTAGTGAGGAAATGCATTTATGCTTTTTTCCAGCCTCAAGGCAGAGAGCCATCTTATGCTAGACAACTATTTCAAGAAGGTAAAGTTTTCTCTCAATTATTTTTATTAATTTTGCTCTTTATTAATATTGAATAGTTTGTATAGAACTTATGGCTTGATAAGTATTTTCTCCAAATTATCGTTTTTATAATAATTAGTTTTAGGAAAGGAAGAAATGGGTAAGCAAAGTAACTCATCAGTGGATCCTGAAATTTGGATGTACATTCTAAAGAACAGGATGTCATATGGTGATCATTCACTCATTCATTCATTCATTCATTCAGCAGACATGCATCAAGTTCCTAACATGTGTAGGACACTATGTATACAATGTGCCAGAGATACAGTGGTGACTAAGAAGCAGGGTTTTGCCTTCAAGAAGCTTGTAATATATTAAGGGAAGACAGCTCTAACAATCAGTGTGACGCAGGCTATAGTAGGGATGTAACCAAAGAAGAAAAGAATTCTGACCTGGAGATTCAAGGATAACTCTAGAGATGAAGTTATGTGTTTGTCTCTTAAGGATGATTCCAAGCAGAATAAGCATGTCACAGGGCCTCTGGATGAGGCAGAGGTCAGTGTCACGCTCATTAACTTCACGACTATGAAGCACCTCTATCTCCTGACTCATACTGATGTTACAAATCAAAAACTGTGTCCTTAGACGTTATTAACTAATGAATAGCTACTGTGTCTTGGTAAGTTCTTTGGGAATATACAAGTGTATTCCCTGCCCTTAGTGACTAAACAGTATTACAGGAAAAAGAGAGAGTTAGTTGGAAATTAAGGTTAGTTGAGAATTAAGGCCAGAAAGTTTATAGATTCAGAATTAAAGGATTTTGATGTACTTTTAAAATATTGCCATGTCATAAATAAATAAATAAATAAAAATTTAAAAAAATATATTGCCATGTAAGTAATACTCCCTTTGCAGTGCAATTCATTCTATAATCTTTAGATACCCTCTTTGTGTGGCTATTCCTGTAAAACAGTTATAAGGATTTGTTTCATTACTCTATTCTCCTTATTAATTGTAACATTTTCCCCATAACATGTTTCCTCAGTTCACAGATGATTTTCAGCTCATTACGTTTTAAGTCGACTGACTCCTACTAGAACATGGAGGAAGTAGCTTGTCTTTACTTCAGGAGGCCATCTTTATAAAACTCACAGTCTTGGTTACTTCTGGGACAGCTTCCCACAGAGGAGTGCTTCTCCAGTGGCTTCCTTATAAAACTCATGCTGCCCCTCAAGATGATGTCTCATTGGGTAGAGCAAAGAATCTGTATGTTTTTAAACTTCCCCAGACAACCCTGAAGTGCAGCCAGGTTTGAAAACCATTACAATAAATAACTAATGCCACCCCCTTGGTTCAGACTTTGTGCCCTCCTCTGTCCAGAGCAGCACATGATTTTTGCGTACTATTGAGACTCACTGTCCACACCCTGCCTAAAGTGCTGACATATGTAGGTTTCTGTAAGTTGGGCCTTCCATAGCTTTACAGTATTTTTTAAAGCCCATTTTTTTGTTGTAATTTATATACATTTCCACCAAGGCAAAGCAGGTCCAAATAATTGTTTCATCATCCAAATGAGTAGGCTCCCTATAGATGTGACTGAGCCAGTTTAAGGTATGTTTCAAAACCATTAGAATTCTCCTTAAAAACAAGTTAATTAAACCATAATAAGTAACTTATCTTAAATATTAGCATGAAATGAAACAATTTAGAAAAAAATCCTAAAGAAATATGAATATAATCCAATACCTCTTACCCATTATGTTCTCTCATTCCACTTTTTAAAACAAAGAATTCCTTTACAGAAATGACTTATATTGAATCCAGGCATGGTGGCACAAGCTTGTAATTCCAGCACTCAGGAGGCTGAGGCAGGAGGATTGCCATATGTTTAAGGCCATCCTGGGCTATAGAGTGAGTTCAGGGCCAGCCTGAACTATATAGTGAGACCTTGTCTCAGAAAACAAAAAAAGAAAGAGGGAGGGAAGGAGGAACATACAGAGAGAGAGAGAAGATAGAAAAAGGAAGGAAGAAAGAGAACCAAAGGAAGGAAAATAAGTAAATTATTGTACCTACTTTTTTTTTTCTCAGAATTAAGATGTCCAGAGTTCACATGACTCTTGTTTCTAGTGTTTTGGTGACTCTGGACAATTTTCCAGACAGCCTCCATGGATGCAGCACATCTTTTTCTGATGTTTTATATTCAACAGTGTATGGCATGGTAAGAGCAATGTGGTACGCAAAACATATGAGAATCACTTGTTTAAGATACTGACCTGCTGAATTAAAATTTGAGGAGAGTGTTCATGTATCTTTTTTTTTTTAAGTTTTTTTCTTTTGGTACCGGGGATCCAACTCAGGTCCTTGCGTTTGCAAGGCAGACAGTGGAACCACTGAGCTAAATCCCCAGCCCGGGTTCATATATCTTAACAAGCCTTGAAAGTAGTGCTTAACTTTAAGAAGCATTGTTCTGTCAAGAATGAAGAGAGGTGTGATTTACTTTTGCAGTTTCCTGGCCTCTTTCACTTTGGCACATTGTGAAATGAGTGAGATACATTCCTGTTAGAATGGCTCTTATGCAAAAGACAAGAGAGAACAAGTGCTGGTGAGGAAGCAGAGAAAGGGAACCCTTGCACGCTGTTGGTAGGAATGTAAATTAGTAAAACCAGTACAGAAACCAGAATGGAGATTTCTCAAAAAATTAAAAATAAGACTAATGTATGATCCAACAATCCCACTTCTGGATATATAACCAAAGGAAATAAAATCATTAGGTTGAAGAGACATCTCCCATATTCTGTTCACAGTAGCCAAGATCTGGAATCTAAATATTCACTGATGGGTGAATGAAAATAAGGAAAATGTGGTATATATACACAAGAAATATTATTCAGCCATAAAAAAGAAACTGTCATTTGTAACTGCATGGATGAGCCCAGAGATCATTATGTTATGTGGAATAAACCAGGGGCCAGGCATGGTGGCACACACCTGTAATCCTAGCATTCGGGAGGCTGAGGCAGGAGGAGCACAAGTTCGAGACCAGCCTGTACTACATAGTGAGACCCTATTGAAAAAGAAAAAAGAAAAAAATAGATATAAGCCGGGCACAGAAAGATAAATACCACATGATCTCACTCATGTAGAATCTATGATAGTCAAGTCTCACAGAAATAGAAAGAATGGTAGCTAGCAGAGACTGGGGTGATTGGCTTGGTGGGAGGCCAGTTGGAGTGATATGATCAGAGGATTGCAGTGAGGAGTAGTAAGTCCAAGAAAGATGTGACTACAGTTGATGACAGAACGTTGTATACTTGAGGAGTGCTAGGAGTGTGTATGCTACGTGTTCTTACCACAAAAGTGGTGAGTGCGTGAGGTGCTGCATGTCTTAATTAGCTAGATTTAACCACCCACAATATATGTATACTTCAGGGACCATACTGTACAGGATAAATAGATACAATTTTGTCTGTCAATTTAACTAAATTGGGGGGAAGTGAGACAAATTATGTTACTATATCTTTGATTTTATGTAAAGCTTTACAGTGATTAATACTTAGGCAAGAAAAAAGTTGTCTTCCATCTGTCCTCTTTTTTTCTGCCCATGAACGTACTCTTTGAAGGCAACAGCTGATATAAAATCCTAATAACTAAAAATTTTAATTCTTAACTTAGTTTTTCAGCTGCTTTTGGCAGAGACAACTCACGAAGTACTTTTACAGGATGTTTACTAGTATTCTACTTTCCAGAGTCAGATTTGAAAATGCACTTTAATCATGTGGGCGCACTTCCATGGACTAGATGAAAACCGTGATTCTATACTGAAACTAGGGAAAATGGGGATGAGGATCCCTTGAGGAACTGTTTAAATAAGGTTAAATTCCCCACAAGTTGAGGTGGTTCAGTAAAATTCCTAGGCTCTGTTCATTTCAGAACCATTACTTTAAAGCAAAGTCTGAGTTGGGGTGTTCCCAAGGTCCTGAAACGGTGGATGTGGGCAGTTTTGAGCCAAACTTCTTGGCCCCATCCCATGCTACTAAGTCAGAGTGTATAGTCTAAGATGTTTTCTGACAGAGTTCAGAAAGCATAAGCCTAGGTTCCACAAGATAGTAATAGCTGTACTAGTGATTAAGGTTTCGTGCTTAACTTAGGGGAATGCGTCAGTCTTCCACTTTGGGGAGTCCAGAAGACATGTTTCAGGTGTTGCAGCTTCCAGGAGTTCTGCAGTAAAGATGCCTTTTAAACCTTCTTACTCAAACTGATTTTCCTTAAGTATACTTTCCTGTAGCACATCTATTAACAGTTATGGAGAACACTAGTGAGAGGAAATATGGAGCTATATAGCTATAAACTAGTTTTGTGGGTTTTCTTTACCTACTTACAGTGATATAATGGACCATCATTTCTTGTCTTGGCAGTGACTATGGTGTATTGTTATATGAAAAAAGTGGAATAAGAAACTCAGTGTATATAGTAGAATCTCACTCTTGTGTGTCTGTTTATCCAATTCTAGAAGACTAACAAAATGTCAAAAGTGATTATATCTGAGTAGTAGGATAAAGATGACTATTCCTTATTCATCTGTCTGTTACTTTAACTTTATAATCAAGTAAAGCTATTTTCATTTTTAAAAAGTTACAAGCAGAGTTGGAAAGTGTTTATAGTTCCAAGAAACTAGAAATAATACTATAAAACATAATAACCATTATTAATGATTAACCAGAATGCTGTTTGAGGCTTATATGAGATAGTTTATTCCATGGCCCATATAACAGAGTTAACTGAAATTCTTTTTATGTTGCACTTTGTTGAAAATATTTAAAATATGGGTTTACTTTCCTCTTATAGAAACTTTGATATACTGAAAAGAGTTTACTTATTGGTCATTGAAAATCTTGCAACATCACAAGTAATTTTTTCTTTACCTTACAGCAGTTTTTGAGAAATTGAATTCTTTCTGCATATTTAAAGAAATACCAAAAAGAAAAAGAAACTGCTACCAGCCTGGAGCCATTGTGCCCTTCCACACATTTTATGCCTGCCCATTTCATTAACATTCATGAGACATGCTTGTTCAAGGTTATCTTGACACCAAATTGGATAGGATCACAATCCTAAACAGCTGTGCATCTACAGCTGCCATGACCAGGGAAATTTTAATTTTTCTTAAGCTTTTTATCTCAGTTGAGGCTTCTTCTGGGAGAGAAAACAAAAACAGTCATAATGTAAAAGGTTTTTTTGGAGAGTTTCTAGGATAGCAGTAATACACCTTCAATTATATCCCTTCCTTCTAAATAGTTCCAAAATGGACACAGAAGTAGGAGATCAACATACTAGCTGTGTACCTGGAAAAATGAGATCACAAATGAGGCCAGGACCTACAGTCAAAATGGGATTCTAAACCTAAACCTTGAAACCCATTTATGTGGAAAACTTGCTATGCAGAGTAAATGTTTATCCAACTTTGCCACTGAGTTCCATGCCCAAGACCTGTTTTTGAGACTGCCTCAGTAAGTTGTCCAGGCTGGCCTTGAAATTGATACTTCTGCTTCAGCCTCCTGAGTAACTGGGATTACATCTGTATGCCACTGCACCTGGCTCCTTGCTCATCTCTTAATTCAGTATATCAGTGATGATTACACACAGTTGGAGCTATTGGTGTAAGCAGTGTTTAGGGATTGACTGAATGTGACTCAGGATATGTTTATTTGGGGAGCTGCTTATTTGTTGCTGTTTTCTTTAGTAGTTATTCAGGAAATATTTGTTCAAAACCTGCTGTGTGGTAGGCTCCATGCTAGATATTGTCTCACAATATTATTGGCTGTATTTTAGTAATGAGTAAACTGAGATGGACTAAGGTTAATTTACACTAAGTCCTAAACTTATAAATGAGAGCCAAAGGTCAGGCCTATTCTGACTCCTAGGCTTAGTCTTTTCATTGATCCTTACTGCCTTCCTTTTTACTAATTCATATGAACAATCAAGCACCAAAGTTTCAGTTAACTGAAGATTCTAATTAACTGAATCTTCAAAGGCTATGGGAGTATATCCCAAGAGGTAGATTGAGTGCTCAAGGCCTTGGGTTCAGTCTCTAGCACCACAAAAAAAAAAAAAATGACTGGGCCAGGGATTTAGCTCAGTGGTTCCCCTGCCTGCCTCACAAGCACAAGATCCGAGTTCAATCTCCAGTACCAAAAAAAAAAAAGAAATATGACTGTATTAAGTGTTAATTCTTTTCTTCTTTGGTAAGTCTTATTCCATACATTATCATTCAAATTAAGTTTCACTTGAAAACTTAAAGAATGATAAATTCCTTGTATTTCATTAATAAAGTACCCCAAATTGCAACATTTTAACAAGTTGTCCTGAGTTTAGGAGCATAGTTAACCAAAAGACTATTAATATTTCTGTAACCCACATTAAATATCTTAAAATTTCTATGTTATCTTGAGTTTCTAGTTGTTTCTCACTTTGTATAATTTGTCAGTAAACAAATTTCATAAATTTTCACTACAAAATAAGTCTAGCTAGGTGTGGTGGTGCATGTCTGTAATCCCAGCACTTAAGAGGCTGAGGCAGGAGGCTCACAAGTTTGAGGCTACCCTGGGCTTCACATTGAGTTTGAGGCCAGCCTAGACTGCATAGCAAGACCATGTCTCAAAAAAAAAAGCAATAAAAATTACATCTAGATACCTACAAGAGTAAAAACATAAATTGACATAGAAGCATTTGAGAAGATAGCTAAAATTGAAAATCTGGCCTTAAAGAAAGTTATGGTAGTTGATCACATGTAAATATTAGCCTGATTAGATGAGATTCAAATTGCAAATCAGTCAAGTAGCACTTTCTGGATGATTTTATTGCAAAGCATAGTACAGGATTCAGTGGAGTGCAGAAAACAAAGACGGGACACAATTCCAACCATTATGCTTATTTTAATGAAGAAAAATAAATATGTAAAAGGGATATGGGAGGAATGTTTAGGAAAAGATGATAAGGTTGAAAATGCAAGTAGAAGTCAAATTGCTTCAAACTGTGCTATCCAGTATGATAGTCACTAGTCACAGGTGGCTATTGAGCACTTAAAATGTAGCTAATCTCACCAAAGTACTGAATTTTAAATTTTATTTAATTTCAAATATCCTCATGTGACTTATGGCTGATGTATTGAATAGTGAATAACTTTGTAGAATAACCAATAAGTGTTTCCCAGAAGAGTAAGGAAAGCCTGAAGAGAAATAAGCAAAGTAAAGAAATAGAATAGCATAACATGAAACATATTTCTGCCTTCTCAGGCCTTTTATGTATTTTTAGATTTATCATCTCATGTTAGTAGTTTATGTTAAGATTCCTCATTTTGGTTGAAGTTGTATTTTCCAAAATGAATTGTTAAGATATTAACATTTGGGATTGTTAATAAATTTCTAGCAAACATTTACTTATGTCCTTCAACCTAAATTATCACTGTTGATTAAAGACTTTTAACCCTCTATTATTTGATTAGATACTAAATTTCCCCATGCATTATGTTTGTTAAACATGCCAGTGATTTCACTGAACTTGCCAGATGGATGAAGAATGTGTTTGGTTAGGCATGAGTCTTAATCCTTTCAATTAAATTTTTGTCCTAGTTTTAATACCTAGACAGATTTATTATGGCATAGATTTACAACAGATTCTGCCTTCTGCAATTGATTTTGGATCCCCAAGACAATAAAATGGAACATATCTTCTCCTTCAAGTAATATGTAGTTTTAAAACTTATTTGTTGGATAAAGTCTGTTTCATATGTCATTAAAAATGTAATTGAAACCCTTTCTGAAATGTCTTTGAAAAATGAGGCTAAATAAAGGCTCAGTTATAATAGTCATCTGTGGTAGTAATTCTTTTTTTCTGTGGATATGATTTCTAACCTTGATATAGTTGAATTTATTTATTAAAACCTTCTTAAAATAGAATTCTATTGTCTTACTAAAATATCAATGACATTTTATTACTTAGTCTGGTATAGCCTTAACATATTTAGTGAGCATTTATCTCTATGATTAGAATTTTGTCTGCTGTTAGAAAGTTTTGAAACAATATAAATGATGTTATTTGTAGTGATTGGACATGCATTTCCAGTTTCTTCTCTGAGGGCCAGCAGTGTAGTGAGTTTTCTGCGACACACAACATGCCCTAGGGTCTCCCATACGAACACCATCTGTTGAAAAGATATACATTTTTCTTCTCATGAAGTGTGTATACGTTTTTTTGGCAGACTGTGCATATGCCTAATAATTTATCAAATAGGACCTTATTGGTTCACATTCCTGAATGAAATTTTAAACTTGAATATTAGTAAAGGAACTCTACAAACTAATTAAACTTAGAGGATGAATTTTATGGCATGTGAATTATATCTCAATAGAATTATTATTTTAAAAACCAGCCCAACAAAACAAAACTTGTTAAGAGTAACACTTAAAGTGAAGAGAGAAAATTACTTCCTGATATTTGTAATGGAGACTTAATAAATTTGAAGTGCTGCCTCATTATAGGGAAAGATTAAGGTTGATATTCTCTTAGTTTGGGGTTTCTTCATAATCTAAATTTATGTGAGAAGGTACCCATGCAAGGAGGACTGAATTGTAGCTGTCAGGAAGTGCTTGATTTCAACTGGAATTATTTTTCCACTCAGATACAGTATCTGCTTTGTCTGAACTATTCTTTATTTTGAGTATGAGTAGGCAGCCATGGGGAGGGCGTTTAGAATGAGACGCTAGGTAGAAATAAGGCCTGGTAACTGTCCTTTGCCCAGTGTCCAAGTGCAGAATTTTAACTAGGTCTCTCTTTTGTTTGAAACAGTGATGACTCGTGGCACTGCCTCCAGCCCATCCTATAGATTCATACTGAATGATGGGACAATGCTTAGCGCCCACACCAAGTGTAAACTTTGCTACCCTCAGAGTCCAGACATGCAGCCTTTCATCATGGGAATTCATATCATCGACAGGTACTACTTATTTGGAGAGCTTCATATGAAATAAGTCAGTTCACATATCTCTTCTTAGAGAAAAATTTATGCTCTTGGTGACTAGAAACAGAGGTTCTGACTTAGGCATAAAACTAGAGTTCTATGCTGAATATAGTCAGTATATCCATTTTGGGTTTTAGAGTTTTGCCACCAGATAACTTTGTTGTTCATAAAGGGAGGCAGGAAAGGTGAGACTAAAAATATGTGTGTTAGGGGCTGAAAACAAATGGTGCCTAAAGATCTACAAGTTTCCGTCTATGAATTTTTAGTCATGGAAGAAATTTCAGAGTTTGTAACAGTGTTATTTTTATTTTTCAAAGTGCTTTGTTTTCATTAGGACAAACCTTATGGCTCTTGAATTCAAGTTGACAGTTTTGCACAGAAGCTACAAATCACTGAACGTCAGGTTGAGATTTTTGAACGCCGTTTCCTCTAGTTTATCCCCTCTCTAAACATGTTTTTTACTGGTATACATGGTGAACTCGTGGAACTGTTCTTTTATCCAATAACCTATTCAAATTCCTACATTTACAGCTGTTTAAAACTTAGCATTAAAAACAGACATTTCCCCTCACTTCATCTTTTCCTCATCAGATGTTTTTGCTTCTTGGAACATGGTAATGCCAGTCACAAATCTGTTGTTATAATTATGGATGTTAGTAAAGAACTCAGTGAAAAACTGAACTCAATATTCCATTTTTTCTAGTTGTACCTGAAATTCTTCTTGTGAGTGGAATTAGCACAGTTCTCTTTCATGTTGTGATTTCTCTTTCAAAACATCTGCTACGTCTGCATATCACCCTTTTTAATTTTCACATCAGTGACGCAGTATTTTCCTTACCCAGTCTTCCTCTTTGGAGTTGAAATACTTAAAAGCTGTAATAGGAGAGTCATGAGTAAATTTTTGTAAACAAATGTGTGGGAAGTTTTTGTTTCAACCAAAAGTATTATTGTAATAACTGTATTAAGTTTAGAAAAGTTTCGAAGTACATCTATTGGATTTTTTCCATTGCCAAGAAAGACTTCTTTTTCATGTAACTGGGCCATTATCAGCTTAAAGGACCTATAAGCACTGTTTCCTAGGATACTTAACAATGGAACTAACAGTCCACTGCTTTTCCTCAGTTTAAGGTGCTGTAGAAGCTCTTTACATGATCGCTTGCAACATTAATGAAGTCATTGGTCTTGTATGTAATATACATGATAAAAATATTTTAATATAGACAAATGAAAATGTTTGAATAATAATGTCTTTTTCTCCCTAGGGAACACAGTGGGCTTTCTCCTCAAGATGACACTAATTCTGGAATGTCAATTCCCCGAATAAACCCCTCAGTCAATCCTAGTATCTCTCCAGCTCATGGTGTGGCCCGTTCATCCACATTGCCACCATCCAACAGCAACATGGTATCCACCAGAGTAAATCGCCAACAGAGCTCAGATCTTCATAGCAGCAGCAGTCACACTAATTCTAGCAACAACCAAGGGAGTTTTGGATGCTCATCTGGAAATCAGATTGTAGCCAATGTTGCCTTAAGCCAGGGACAGGCCAGTTCCCAGAGCAGTAATCCATCTTTAAGCCTCAATAATTCTGCTATGGAAGGTACAGGAATTTCCCTCACACAGTTCATGTCTCCAAGGAGACAGGTTCCCTCTGGCTTAGCAACAAGGGCCAGGATGTCAAACAATTCATTTCCTCCAAATATTCCAACTTTAAACTCCCCAGTTGGCATGACAAGTAGTGGCTGTAATAATAGTAACCGATCTTACTCAAATATCCCAGTAACATCTTTACAGGGTATGAGTGAAGGACCCAGTAACTCTGTTGGCTTCTCTGCCAATTCTCCAGTACTCAGGCAGATGAGCTCACAGAATTCACCTAGCAGATTAAATTTACAACCAGCAAAAGCTGAGTCCAAAGATAACAAAGAGATTGCATCCATTTTAAATGAAATGATTCAGTCTGACAACAGCTCTGGTGATGGCAAACCTCTGGATTCAGGGCTTCTGCATAACAATGACAGACTTGCAGATGGAGACAGTAAATATGCTCAAACCAGTCATAAACTAGTGCAGCTTTTGACAACAACAGCAGAACAGCAGTTACGGCATGCAGATATAGACACAAGCTGCAAAGATGTACTGTCTTGCACGGGCACTTCCAACTCTGCCTCTGCTAACTCCTCAGGAGGTACTTGTCCTTCTTCTCATAGCTCACTGACTGAGCGGCACAAAATTCTGCACCGGCTCTTGCAAGAAGGGAGTCCCTCAGACATCACCACTCTGTCTGTGGAGTCCGATAAAAAGGACAGTGCATCTACTTCTGTGTCAGTGACTGGACAGGCCCAAGGGAACTCTAGTATAAAACTAGAGCTGGATGCTTCAAAGAAAAAAGAATCAAAAGACCATCAGCTCCTGCGCTACCTTTTAGATAAAGATGAGAAAGACTTAAGATCAACTCCAAACCTGAGCCTGGATGATGTAAAGGTGAAAGTGGAAAAGAAAGAACAAATGGATCCTTGTAACACAAACCCAACCCCAGTGACCAAACCAGCCCCTGAGGAAATTAAACTGGAGTCCCAGAGCCAGGTAGGTAATTCCTCAGTTCACAGAATGATCATTCCTACTTATTTTTCCTTTTCATTCATTTTACTCCAACCATAGACCAGGTTTGGATTCATGTTATGTTTTGTTCTGTCCATGGGGCATGTACCAAGAGGTTGGTACAATATCTGATTGAAAAAACAGGATAGCCTCAGAAGTTCTCTTTAGAACGCTAGAGGGCTGCAGTACTCACGTGGCATTCGAAAAAGTAGATTTTTCTTCTATGAAGTCAGATTTTATCTTTGGACATTTTCAGAAACACCTTCCCTCCCTGCTCCTCCCAATCCCACATATTAAATTCACCTCCAGGGAAGAACCTAGGAATCTGCCTTTTAAAGAAGATCTCCTGGGGCTGGGGATTTAGCTCAGTGGTTCTGCCGCCTGCCTTGCAAGCGCAAGGACCCGAGTTCGATCCCAGTATCAAAAAAAAAAAAAGATCTCCTGCGAACTCTGGTACATAACTAGGTTTGGGACCCTCTGATGAAAACCAAGTGGGAAAGAAAGGTGAGCAGTTAGACAAGGCTACCTGGTTAAAGCATTCTAAGGCTTTTGTTTTTATTTTTATTTTTTTATTTTTTGTTTTCTGAGATAAGGACTCACTAAGTATTCCAGGCTGACTTTGAACTCATTTTGTAGCCCAGGCTGGCCTGGAGGTGATCCTCCTGCCTCAGCTTCCTGGATGCTAGGATTATGGGTTGGTGCTACCACACCCAACTTTCTGAGGGTATTTTTATCCTCATTTGATTCTAATCACCTCAACCCCAGTCAGAGAACAGGATTTGAATATTCTGGGTAGCAGAATGTTGCTCTTAACTAACATGCTCTGAAACAGAAGTAAATAAAAACAAACCTTTGGTAAATTGTTATGGATTAGGAAATCGTATGTCTGGGATGGGTTGGGATGTTACAAAAATTAACAGGCCACTTAATTTAATGAATACTTGTGAATTCTGAAGGAATATAAGAAAAAATATATATATGGTCCCTGAATTCTAGGACCTCTCATAGTATATAGAGACAGAATAAAGGTACATACCAAATATCTGACAGTGTATTTACAAAGCAGTTTATCAGCAAGGCTCTCCACTATGAAATAAGATTCACACTCTTGAACCAGCTTGATTTTTCTGCTCTCCTTTCATGAAAATCTCTTCCCTTAGGCATTTGGCATTCTAGAAAGTCCTTGCTATACCTAAGCTAAGCCTGTCTCCCCAAGCATCTATACCTCTATACCTTTTGAACTTCTCATCCTGCACAAATCGCTCTGGTAGAGTCTCTCTAGAGTCTTCCCAGATAACTCCAGTTACAGCTTCTTCATCTCTACTCTATAGGGCTTTACATGTGTCCTTTTACAATTTGATATTCTAAAGACTTTTTTTTTTTGGTACCGGAGATCGAACTCTGGTCCTTGGGCTTTTGAGGCAGGTGATGGAACCACTGAGCTAAATCCGGGGCCCCCATCTGTTCACAATTTGTAGTAACACTGTATGGGGGTTGGGAGGGACAGGGACTGGGAATCGAGCCCAGGCCTTTGCACTGAGCTATATCCCCAGCCCTTTTTTATTTTTTATCTTGAGACAGGGTCTTGTTAAGTTGCCCAGGCTGGGCTCAAACTTGTGTTCCTCCTGCCTCAGCCTCCCAGAATGCTGAGATCACAGGCATGCTAACTCTGTATTGAATGTTTCTTCACATGTATTCTCTTTGAGGAGAGGACTGTGTCTCATGGTTCTTAGTACAATGAAACTAATAGGGTTTTTTTGAAGGACAGAAACAGCTTTAAATAATATAATTCACACTTTAAAAGTAACAGCTATAAAATAATGGTGTTGTGTGTGTCGCATGTGCTAGGGCACCTGTTTTGCCGCACATGCTTCCCTCTGCTGAGCTTGTGTCTATTAGTAGGGTCACATGATTAAAAGATGTGTGCACTCATCTCTAGTAGATAATGCAGTTTTCCAGTGTACAAGAATTCTTTCTAGGTGTTACATGTCATTGCTAATGCTTGGTGTTATCATTCTTTTAAATTGAGCCTCCTATAGTGTGAGAAACTGAAAGTGTAAATAAGGACTAAAAGGTATAATAGATAATGTGAAATAGGAAGAAAAGGGGCAGAGGGGAGGGGGAAGTGGGAGGGGAAGGGGAAAGGAAAGAAGGGAATGGAATTAATATGAGAAAATGAAAAAATGGAAACAAAGTCTTTGTAAATAGGGAGAGATGGAGGGGTTGAAGGGAGGGCAGGGGAAGGGGAAAAAATAAGAACCAAGAGAGATTATGTAAAGGCGCATATCTCCGATGATGAATGTCATTATATTGTACACCTAAAATGTACCAATGAAAGGATATACAAAAAAAAAAAGAGCCATTCTAGACAATGTATAACAATACTTCATTGTTTTACTTTGCATTTCTCTGATAAGTATTGGTCATTTGAAAAACTTTTGTAAATTACCTAGTCGAGTCTCTTGCCCATTTTTTTAATATCTTGTCCTTTGCTTACTGTCTTTTATGAGAGTTCTTAATGTGTTTTGGATATAAGTCCTTTATTGGGTATATATTTATAGATATCTTCTCTATGTGTGACTTACCTTTTCATTCTCTCAGTGGTGTTTTTTGATGATGTGAAGTTCTTCATTTTAACATATTTGGCCATCTTTTCCTTTATGGTTAAGACTTTTTGCACATGTGTAGTAAAAGACATGTTCAAAATTGTTCATAGCTTTATTTTTAAACATCCCAAAAATCTATCATCGAAGAATGGACAATTATATTGTAACATATTCAATGAGATACTATTCAGCAATGAAAAGGAATGAACTACAGCTACATGTGACCATATATCTGAACTGTAGAAATGTAATTTTGGAAGAAGTCAGATATTGAAAAACTTATAATCAGCCAGGCGTGATGGTGCACGCCTGTAGTCCCAGCACTCGGGAGGCTGAGGCAGGAAAATCACAGTGAGTTCAAGGCCAGCCTGACTACATCGCAAAGCCCCTTCTCAAAAAAAAACAAAAGAAGTCTGGGCTGACCTCAGACTTTCAATCCTCCTGCCTCAGCCTCCCAGAGTGCTAGGATTACAAGCATACACCACCACAACTGTCTAAATTTTGAAAACTGTTAACAGAAAAACTCAACCACAATCCCATTATAACACAGTACTCCTGACATTTCTAGTCCAGCCTTTTTCCTATACATAAATTTTATACTGAGACACAATATATATTGTATGAATATTATCTTATATCCTGTAGTATATTAGCATACCCCCCAGTAGAATAAAGCATGTAATTTTTAAAAATCCAATCATTGTAATTATTTATTTCTTTTTTATGCTCTCATATCACATTTAATTCATATAGTTTAAAAGAACAACTTTCTTCCTTGTTTCAGCTGAAAGTAGAAGATATATTTCCTCTAACTTTGGTTTCCCTTCTTAGTTTACAGCTGACCTTGACCAGTTTGATCAGTTGCTGCCCACGCTCGAGAAGGCAGCACAGTTGCCAGGCTTATGTGAGACAGACAGGATGGATGGTGCAGCCACCAGTGTAACCATCAAATCGGAGATCCTGCCGGCCTCACTTCAGTCCTCCACTGCCAGACCCACTTCCAGACTGAATAGTATGTGCTGAGGACAACACCTCACTTTAAATCTTTAGTGGCAACATGGATTCGTGCTTGTCTCTCACTGTTATTGCAGAGATCTTTGGTTTGTTATCAAGTCTCTCTTCATTATGCCTCTATCAATAATAATTATATTTAGATATATGAACTTAACTCATCCTGTATATTTAAGTTGTAGCATAACCTCTACCCTTTTATAATTGATGCTAAGGTAAGCAGTTGGTGTTGAGAGCAATTTTGTGTTCTTACCCAATGCATCCCATAATAGAACATTCAGAAATAGAGTATGGGGTCAGAGTGTGTTTCCCAAGATGTTTACCTTGAACACGAGTCTTTGTTGCTGTTGTCGTTTGCCTTTTGAGACAAGGCCTCACTGTGTTCCCCAGGCTGGCACTCAACTCCCAGGGATCCTCTGGCCTCAGCCTCCTGAGTGCTGGGCTTACAGGCCTGTTTGGCTACACCCAGTTTAAAGGCAATTTTAAAATGACACATTATGTTGGATGAACAATAAAAACTACTGACTTCCATACCTAGTATCATTTGAAATGAAACAAAGAAAAAATGATAAACAAAGAGAGCGGTTGACTTCCTATATCCAGTATCATTCAGATGAAGTAAAGATGTTTTCAAATAAAGCTGAGAAAATTTGTCACCAACAAACTGCACTACTCTTCAAGCTAAAGATAAATCCAGGTGGGAATTCTTATCTATATAAAGTAATGAAGGGAGCCAGATAGCTAAGGTGCTATTAAGAAGAAAATTCTTTTTTTTTCTTTCATTTAGTAGCCTTTTTTAATGAAAAAATAACTTTAAACCAAACTAACAGTGGATTATACATAACATTTAAAAGTAAAATGTTTGGGGTCGGGGATTTAGCTCAGTGGTTCTGCCGCCCGGCTCACAAGCACAAGGACCTGAGTTTGATCCCCAGTACCAAAAAAAAAAAAAGTAAAATGTTCGGGACCAGGTATTTAGCTCAGTGGTTCTGCCATCTGCCTCTCAACTGCAAGGTCCCAAATTCAATCCCCAGTACCAAAAAAAAAAAAAAAAAAAGTAAGATTAGGGAATATCTAGTGCAGATTAAACCAAGAGCCTTGAGGCCTCTGGAAAGGAAGGCTCCAAGGAAGAAATACATTGATCTCTTTGTGTTTGTAGAAAACATTATTGGTAGATTTATGTTAAAATGTTAGAGATTCTAAAAAATTCCCCTCAGAAAGCAGGCAAATGGGAAAATAAGGCAGTTAACTCTAGAAAAAAGAAAGCATGGTACACAAAAGGAGGTTGAACGCAGTGCACAGTTTGACTTAGAAGTGAGTGATATTTGTGTAGTCATAAAAATACAAACTTTTGATTAGGTAGACACTTCGATCTGTGTTAAAGAATTGGCAGCTAAGGAGATAAGCATGGGAGGGCTGAGGCTTGTCTGCCATGATGCAAAGTCACTGCACCTAAGTGGAGCTCTAATAAAGTGGCCAAGTATGCATATACGGAATGAATGGACAAATGCCAGAGGAAACAGGTACAGAGCTGTGAACGGTTTCCTCAAGTGAGAAGGAGGTAACGAAGGGATCAATGGCAAGGCATGAGCAGGAAGTTGCTTGTATTCATTATGGGCTATGCATGTTAATTTGATAAGAATTAAAATTAATAGAAATAAAAATTGTCTTCTAGCTTAACAAGCCTATGAAAATGGGATTTTTTTTTCCTTCATAGTGCAAATGGCTCTTTTCTCCCTTGAGATTCTCTTCCACATACAAAAATATATAAACATACAAAAAATATATAAATAGGCCAAAATCTGTTACACTTTGTGCTAGTGAGTTTACAAAGGCCAAAACCATACAGGAGAGCATTATGGGATAGGTGAAGGGAAGGACAGTCGATGCAGACGGCCAGTCCACAATGTTTAGACCCAGACAGGAAACAAAAACATAATTGAAGCAACAGAAGGCTAAGGAAGGAAGTTGGGTGGAAGAAAAAAGAATTAAGGAGTGGAAAATGTAAAAAAAGAAAAGGAAGAGAAGGACCAAAAAATATGCAGGCATTTAAAAGGAAGGGGAAAAGGTGGCTTTTAAATCTCAGCCCCCTCAGCCTCTGACTGTCCATCGCTCCCTATTACCAGAGCCAGAGTCTATTGCTCTTTGGTCCACATCTTAGCCATGTGCCCACGCTGGGAAGTCGAGCATCTTTCCCACCTCGGTGCCCAGTTGGAAGCTGAGCTGCTCCAAGAGCAGATATCCTGCCTGAGGTAGTTTCATTTCCATCACACTTCACCCCTAAGATATACCAGTCAGAACTCTTGACCCATCTTTGCTCCTATATTTTTCTTTTCCTTAACATTTTGCAGGATATTCTGAGAGAAATTCTGGGCCCAGTTTTCCAGATCAAAATTGAATCTTCACCATACTGTTGTGCTCTTCAGTCTATCTGTTGAATTCTTTTAATCCTAACTATCATGTTTTCATTTTGTAGAAATTCTTTTTCTTAGGAATTTATTACTTATGTAATAGACCTTTTAAATCTGCATAATGATATTTATTATATACTTCTTTTAGGGGTTATCCTTTTTTTGTATTTAACCTTTTTTCTTCAGTTTATTTTTGTGTGTTTGTTTGGTTTGTTTGTTTGGTACTGAGGATCGAACTCGGGACCTTGCACTTGTGAGGGAGGTAGTGGAACCACTGAGCTAAATCCCCGGCCCTGTTTGTTGGTTTTTTGAGACAGGACCTTGCTATGTAGTTAAGGCTAGCCTTGAACTCACCATGTGCCTCCCACTTGCAGCAATCCTCCTGTCTCAGCCTCCTGAGTACTTAGTGCTACCACACTCAGCTATCTTCAGAGTTTCTATGTTAAATTTACTATCCCCTTTCATGCTATTGACTTTCCTTGAATGTTTGGTCAGTGTGGATGGTCTCCCCCAGGTACACTAAAAGAGACCTAGGATGAAAGTGCTACAAGCTGGCATTTTCTTTAGCTTAAGTGAGAAGCCCATCGTAGACGCCCCATTCAGTAGGACGAGAGCTTGGTGGCAGGGAAATCCCTTACAGCAGCCCTCATACCCTCATTGGGAGACTCCCCAGGCAGAACTCCCACCTTGACTCACAGACTTGCCACTTTAATCCCCTGGGCATGAGCCAGGGTCAGCTGCCCTCAGCCGAGGCCTGGGGGCAGGTGTTCTGTTGTCCTTTAATTATCCCAGCACTTTCCCTTGCCCTCTTCCTTATTTTAGAAAATCCTTTCTCCTATTTTTGAGTTTAGTTGAAGTTTCAGTATCAGTCTGTTTATGCCTGTGCTTTCTGTCTTTCAGAAACTCTTAATTCTTCTAGTCTGCTGCCTAAGACCTTGTCTTTCTTTTAGCTATAAATATTTTATTTTTCTCTTCTGTTATTTCAGTGATGTTTTTGAAGGGAGAATAAAATATAGGTAATAAAGCTGCCATATTAAGCCAAAAAGTCTCTTTAGGTCTATTTACATATGAGAAAACGAAGGTTCAGAGAATGAAAAAGGGGAAAACACACACTCCCAAAACCTTGGCTGAAGTTACACGTTAACAAATACAGAACCAGAATTTAAATCTCAGTCTGCCCGGTTTCAAAACTCGCTGTTTATATGCACCTTCACACAGTCACCCGGTGTTACCAAGTGATTTAAACAGTTTTATTAGAAATGTACCGTAAGAGGACATCTGGATGAACGGTGCTTTTTCAGAACAGATGCCTTATTGAGGGTGTTTTTTTATCAAAATGTGTACAACATGATTCTTTGGCAATACCTTCAAAAACCTCGGCAATAGTCTTTGAACTGTCTCCAAATCCCTATTGTTTGAGGATAGATTTAACTTTTGAAAACTTCCAGTTATTTAGAACCAAATTTCTTGACATCAAAAGGAAATACTATTTTTTCAATTATAACAAAAATCAGGTATACCTATGAGGAGATTTATTTTCTAGAAGGACTTGTAGACTGGTTGGGATAATTCCTGAAGAATTCCAAAAATATCTGAAGATGAACAACATGACTGGATCCAGTGAATGACCTTCTGAGGCAGTTGTTTTTATGTTCTGTGAACATACACATTCTGGAATGATTACTTTTAAAATTCTATTTGTAGTACATTAAAAATATTGTATAACTATAAAAATCAGCCTTATATACATTTTCATTACTTTAAAATATCCAATTTAAGGCCAGGGATTTAGCTCAGTGGTTCTGCCGCCTGCTTCGCAAGCTCAAGGACCTGAGTTCGATCCCCGGTACCAGAAAAAAAAAATATATATATATATATATATCCATATATATATATCCAACTTAACTTCCTTGTTTTTTAAGGTTGGTTACATTTAAAGTAATTGAAATATTCACATGCTTCTGCATTCAAGACGGCACCAAAAATATAGATCTGTGTGTGTGCACACACACATGTGCAATGAAGAGCCAGATATGGTGGTACACACCTGTACCCTAGCACTTAGGAGGCTGAGGAAAGTGGAGTGCAAGTTTGAGGACTCTATGGGCTACGTAGCATACCCACTCCCCCAACATGAAAAGATTTGTAGAGTCTCTTCATCCTAGAAGCATTTTGCTTCTGCTCTCAAAACAAATGTAGCATGCATAGACTCACCTGCTTTTTGTACAAATAGTGTCGTACTACACACATTCACTCCTTTGTGCCTGGATGTCATTCTATATTGGCACATAAAGAGATTCTTTCTTCTTTTTTTAATAACTTGTGCTTTTTTTTTTAACTTGTGCTTTTTAAAATCTGTGCCAGAACATACTTCACCAGTTGCCTAATGATAAGCATCTTTTGCTGTTACAAAGCTGTAAAGAATAATCTCATGTAGAGATAATTTACCACTTGTGAAAGTATATCTGAAATACAAATTCTGAATAGAATAGACAGAGACTACCAAATGGCCCTTCTCAGAGATGACACCAGTTAATGTTCCTGTTTCTATAGCATACACACACACACACACACACACACACACACACACACACACACACACACTGGGAATTGAACTCAGGACCTTGTGCTTACCAGGCAGGCGTGGAGCTGCTGAGCTCTGGCCCTATAGCTCTTCTCAGTACTTTTAATTATGTACTTTCTCATCTTTGTCAGTCTGGTGGGTTTTTTCAAGTATCTCAATGCAGTATTAAACTGTTTATTTGAGGTGGGGCATGTTTTGAGACATGGCCTTGCTATGTCTTCTAGGCTGGCCTTGAACTCCCAAGGATCCTCCTGCCTCAGCCTCCTGAGTCCTGGGATTATAGACATGCATCACCATGCCTGGCTCTAACCTTTTGTGTGTGATTGATCTTTTTTTTTCCTTCAGTGATTTGATGTGACTGCTGTGTAGTCTCTCATTGATCTATTCAGTCACTGAGTTTTTATCTTATTGATTTATAGTTTTTTATTTATTAGAGAAATTAGTCCTTTGTCCGCGTCATGTTTTTAAAAAATAAAACACTGTAACTGTTGTGCAGTTACTGTCAAACATAATATAAAACTGAGGCAGAAACTTATTTTCCAATGCTGTAGAAAACTAATTGTGAACATGAGAATCAGTAGATGCTGAATCAACTCTTCAAGTTGTATGACGTGCAAAAGCTGCCTTCCTGCTTAAGATGATACTCTACACCGTGTGCAGAAAATGTTTGATTACCTGGTAATATAATTGTTCCGCTGGGTTTCATGTGACTAATGGGAATATAAAGTTTCCCTTTTAGGGGCTGGGGATTTAGCTCAGTGGTTATACTGCCTGTCTTGAAAGCGCAAGGACCCGAGTTCAATCCCCAGTACCAAAAAAAAAAAGAATAAAGTTTCCCTTTTAGCTAGATTTTAAGTGGCAGAAAGTATAATGTTGACTCTTTGCAAAGATGATAACAAATAATACCTGGGTTCAGTGTCATGAGTCTGTAGTCTCAGCCACTCCACTCGGAGGCTGAAACAAGAGGATTGCGTGAGCCTAGGAGTTGGAGGCCAACCTGAACAATATAGCAAGACCTCATGTCAAGAAAAGAAAAGAAAGGCCAGGTGTATGCTTGTAATCCCAGCACTCTAGGAGGGTAAGGCAGGAGGGTTGCAAGTTCAAGCCCAGCCTGGGAATTTAGTGACTTGGTGAGACTCAAAAAATACTAGACATGGTGGTACGTGCCTGTAATCCCAGCATTCTGGGTGGCTGAAATAGGATTTCAAGTTTAAGCTCAGCCTGGACAATTTAGTGAGTTAGTGAGACCCTATCCCAAAATATTTAAAAAGAGCTGGGAATGTAGCCTAGTTGAAGGCCCCAGTTCTAACTAATTGGATGGATGGATGGATGGATGGATGGATGGATGGATAGATAGATAGATAGATAGATAGATAGATAGATAGATAATTAATTTTAAAATAAAAAGGGCTGGGGATGTAGTTCCATGTGAAGACCTTGCTTTCAATCTCCAGTACAAAAGTAAAAAAATAATAATAATAAGTATTAATGGCTTCATCACAGCACCCTAAAGCCTTGTTTTCCGTCCAAGCTTCAGCTGGTTCTCTACAACAAAAATGGCTGCACTTGTCTTGTCTGTTTGTGGTGGGAACACAAACATGACCAAAAATAGTAAGTTTATTTTATAGGCAAAGAAGAAGTTGTGTATTTCCTAAACAGTTCCACCAGCCCTCAAATTTTTTTATAGAAGGCAGCTTCTCAAGGAAGTCCAAAAAGATCAACGTGACTTTCAAAATAAAATACAGTTTCCTTTAAGCATACAGCCTATGTGCAAATAACTTTTAATTAAATTAGTTTAATTTTTGGAGAGATTTGTTTTGTCTTTGTGTTTGTATTTGTATTTGCCTAGACATCAAACTCAGGACTTCAGTCTTATTTTATTTTGAAGATTTTTTTGTCCATCTTATGTTCTTAAGATTTTTCCATCCAGGCTAGTTAAATGAGATTCTGTGTTCTATCATAATGTCAAATAAGCTATCATGTTATACCTAGTACCTATTATATACAGTCGTGTAAATTTCCTTAGACTCCTAAATGTAATTAATGTTGTCTAGATTACATTTCATAAAGGGAATAGGATTGAGCGATGTGTGGAGCAAAGCAATGGGACTGCTTTAGATAATTTTCTTTGACCAACTTCCTGATTTAAATAATGACATGAATTAAATGATTACTTTCCTGTTGCCATTTTTTTTTATCTTTTGTACTTTTCAGAATCCTATAGAATTTGATTTCTCTATTGTCATGATAGAGATCAGTTTACTTGGAAGTTTTAGTTGCATGTACTTAAAGTAGAATGTGTTTATATGGATTCCTATTTTTTATTTATACTAAATATTGAGTATATTTCACATAAAAGCCTGTCATGTTTTTGCATAAATCAGAAATCCTTAAATCCATGTATTCTTTATTTATTAAAAAGATTTGAGGGCCAGGGATTAGCTCAGTGGTTCCGGCGCCTGCCTCACAAGCACAAGGTCCTAAATTCAATCCCCAGTACCAAAAAAAAAAAAAAAAAAGATGAATTTGTCCTAAATAAGGTTTCTCTTAAAACTCCAAGACCTAAACTGGGTCAGATGGCACATGCCTATAATCCCAGCACAGGGGAGGCTGAGGCAGGATGAGCACGAGTTTGAGGCCATCCTGGGCTACATAGAAAGTGCAAAGCCAGCCAGGACTACATAGCAAGACCCTGTCTCAAAACAACAAAAAACTTCCAAGGCCTACACTGGGAATATAGATTAGTGCTGCAGCACTTAGCTAGCATGTGAGAGAGCCTGGGCTCAATTCCTAGCACTGCAAAAACAAAAAGAAATGTCAAAGCCTTTTTACTTTTTATTTTAAAAACAAAAAAATGTATTAGTTAGCTAGGGTTGCTATAACAAAATACCACAGGTTGAGAATATGAAACAGAAGTTCATTTTCTCACCTGTCTAGAGGCTAGAGTCTAAGATCAAGAAGTCAGCAGATGTGTTTCTTTTGAAGGCTCTTTCCTTAGCTGGGAGATGGCTGCCTTCTCTCTGTGTTATCTGTGTCCCAATCTTCTTATGAAGAGATTACTCATACTGGATTAGAGCTCACCATAATGACTTATTTAAAATTAATGACCTTGGGGCCAGGGATTTAGCTCAGTAGTTCCACCGCCTGCCTTGAAAGCGGAAGGTCCTGAGTTCAATCCCCGGTACCAAAAAAAATTTAATTTAAAATTAATGATCTTCTAAAGGTCCTTTCTTCACATACAGTCACATTTTGTGGCAATAGGAGTTAGGACTTCCATATATGAACTTGAGGAGGAGGGTAATACAATTTAGCCCATTACAGTGGTCAATTAATATATATTCATTTTAGAAATTATAAGTAACCATTATAAAAAGAAAAGTAATCCTTACCATCACTACCTAAAATGAACTAATACAGAGAGCATCCCAGAATATATTCTTTTGGGCAAGGGGGCAGTACTGGGGATCGAACTCAAGACCTTGAGCTTTTGAGGCAGGCAGCAGAACCACTGAGCTAAATCCCCAAATATATTCTATTAATATATATGAAATAGTTTATAAAAACAGAATCACCTGAATATAATGGCTTACAATGTTTCTTTTTCATTTAATGATTTCTTTTTCATTTAATGACACATTATCAATAGTTATGCCATAATTCATTAAGCATTTTCTAAATTTCTGGAATTTAAGTTATTTATAATTTTTTCTAGCATCAATATTTCAGAGATAATCATAAAGCTTTCAAAAAGTTCCTAATGAAAAACCTTCTAAAATACATATGCTGTTTTCTTCCATTACAAAATATAACCTAACCTCATTGTTCATTTGATTTTCACTGTAACCATGCGTTGTTTTACTATAATCATACAACTGTCCTCTCAGCTTAGCAACTAGAGCCTTGTCCATTCTCTGAACAGCCTCAGACTGCTGTACCCTTTAGCTTCTGTGTCTGCCTTTTGTCCAGTGTGTTTTATCTTTTGCTTGTGAATATTTCATGGTGATGGCACTGTCCCTACTTATAGCATAGTCTAATGTGCTGTAGGCTGAAGAAGCAGTTAACCAAACTCGTTATGTTTATCTTTAAAATACATTATTTCCGACAAAGTTCTTGATTCTCCTATGGTAACATCAACCTATGTGCAGTCTAAATCAGCTTTTCTTTGATTGAGATACCTTTGCCTATCTCATTTACTTTTATGAAATATGGCCACAATCTAGAAAATTTATATTTCTGAATATGTAACTTTATATCATTGAAATATGATAAACAGTGGACACTTAACGTATGAACTTGATCGGTTCCCACGGGCTGGGTGTAACTCAAGTTGGTTGTAAGTCAATACAGCTGAGATCTGGATGTTTACCTGGGCATACACAATAGATAACAAAAGGCATATGAACCTAATTAACCCACGTTGTTCATATGTCAGGCCAATCTTGAGGGTCCACTGTACACTGGTACCTCAGTTCATGAACTTAATTCTTTCCACGATTCTGGTTGCAACCAAATTGGGAACATGTACATAGAGAAGATCTCACTCTATAATGTATTACTTCTGAAAATACTGTCATTTCCCTCCATTGTGACAATGACCTTTTGTTCCTCAATCAGGATTGCCTGAGCTAGAATTAGAAGCAATTGATAACCAGTTTGGACAACCAGGAACAGGTGATCAGATTCCTTGGGCAAACAATGCTGTGACAGCTGTAAATCAGACAAAACCAGAAGAGTAAGTAATATATTTTGATTTCATAAGATATCGGATAACAGCCTCTAAGCCAAGAACTGCTTTTCCCAAATCCAGTTGGATTCCAGTCTACATTGGTATTTTGTGAGATACAAAGTGATATAAATGTTTAGTGAAAAGCAGTGGGGGGGGGGGGGATAGGGAAACCATCAAGTCAAAGCAGATTCATTTACTACATGACCACCAGCTAGTATTGCACAGGACAATCACCAAGAGATAACATGGTATGCAGCAGTTGTTTTCTATTTCCCCTGTCACTTTGCCCTGTGTGTCATGATATCCCTGAGACCAATGGATGAATTAACCTCAGCACAACAGTTATGCTGCCCATAAACTTTGAGTTAGGTAATTATTGTGCCTAGCATTTCTCTTGGGAACAGGACAGTATAAGGAAGGAAAGTACTTTCTACATCTACTCAGTGCTCCATTCTGATTAGAATTTAATTTCTAAATTCACACAGGCAGCTGTAGTCCACAGCACAGCATATATCTCATGCATGCCAACCAAAGGAAGACAGATGGCATGGAGAGTGAGTTAGAGCCTTAACCTTAACTGTGGATGTGTTCTCATTTACCTTCCCAGAGAAAGAATCACTGTAGCTATATTGTTACATTAGTGTACCTACTGCCATTTTCTATATATTTCTAAGTTTTATACATCAGTTGAAATCAGTTTGGATTAAACTGTATATTTTCTAGCAAATAAATACATGAAAAAATGTTCAACATCACTGGTCATTTGAGAAATGCAAATGAAAACAACGCTGAGATTCCACCTCACTCCAGAAAGAATGGCTACTATCATGAAATCAACCAATAACAGATGCTGGTGGGGCTGTGGGGAAAGAGGAACCCTGCTCCACTGCTGATGGGAGTGTAGTCTGGTGCAACCCCTATGGAAATCAGTATGGAGATAAAGAACTAGGGCTGGAGGTCCCATTTGACCCCACTATTTCCCTGCTGGGGATCTTCCCCAAATAATTAAAAGAATCATACCACAGTGATATATGTGCACCCATGTTCATAGCAGCACAGTTTGTAACAGCTAAAACTTGGAAACAGCCCAA